AGGAATCTTTATTCAGGAAACGTTTCGCCACACAGTGGCTTCATCAGTCCAATACAAAGAGGAAGGCGTAAGGAGAGGAGGAGAATGAGGTAATCAGTCCCTCAACCTGGAGTCGATGTGTTCAGTCCATCAATCTTGTAGAATGATTGATGGACTGAACACATCGACTCCAGGTTGAGGGACTGATTACCTCATTCTCCTCCTCTCCTTACGCCTTCCTCTTTGTATTGGACTGATGAAGCCACTGTGTGGCGAAACGTTTCCTGAATAAAGATTCCTATATGCTGCATAAGTGTCTCAATCTTCAACAATCTACATAAACGACATAGATGAGGGCATACAGAGCGACATCGGCAAGTTTGCCGATGACACCAAAATAGGCCGTCGAATTCATTCTGACGAGGACATTCGAGCACTCCAGGAAGATTTGAATAGACTGATGCAGTGGTCGGAGAAGTGGCAGATGCAGTTTAATATAGACAAATGCAAAGTTCTAAATGTTGGACAGGACAATAACCATGCCACATATAAACTAAATAATGTAGATCTTAATATTACGGATTGCGAAAAAGATTCAGGAGTTCTGGTTAGCAGTAATCTGAAACCAAGACAACAGTGCATAAGTGTTCGCAATAAAGCTAATAGAATCCTTGGCTTCATATCAAGAAGCATAAATAATAGGAGTCCTCAGGTTGTTCTTCAACTCTATACATCCTTGGTTAGGCCTCATTTAGATTATGCTGCACAGTTTTGGTCACCGTATTACAGAATGGATATAAATTCTCTGGAAAATGTACAAAGGAGGATGACAAAGTTGATCCCATGTATCAGAAACCTTCCCTATGAGGATAGACTAAGGGCCCTGAATCTGCACTCTCTAGAAAGACGTAGAATTAGGGGGGATATTATTGAGGTGTATAAATGGAAGACAGGAATAAATAAAGGGGATGTAAATAGGGGTGCTGAAAATATCTAGCTTAGACAGGACTCGCAGCAATGGTTCTAAGTTGGAAAAATTCAGATTCAGGAAGGATATAGGAAAGTACTGGTTTGGTAATAGAGTTGTGGATGAGTGGAACAAACTCCCAAGTACCGTTATAGAGGCCAGAACGTTGTGTAGCTTTAAAAATAGGTTGGATAAATACATGAGTAGATGTGGGTGGGTGTGAGTTAGACCTGATAGCTTGTGCTACCAGGTCGGTTGCCGTGTTCCTCCCTTAAGTCAATGTGACCTGACCTGACTAGGTTGGGTGCATTGGCTTAAGCCGGTAGGAGACTTGGACCTGCCTCGCATGGGCCAGTAGGCCTTCTGCAGTGTTCCTTCGTTCTTATGTTCTTATGTAAACAGGTGTAAGTCTTGTACACAGTTAAGCCGTGTACATAGATGTGTACACAGTTGCAAGTCGTGCCACACAGTTGCAAGTCGTGCCACACAGTTGCCAGTCGTGCCACACAGGTGCCAGTCGTGCCACACAGGTGCCAGTCGTGCCACACAGGTGCCAGTCGTGCCACACAGGTGCCAGTCGTGCCATACAGGTGCCAGTCGTGCCACACAGGTGCCAGTCGTGCCACACAGGTGCCAGTCGTGTACACAGGTGCCAGTCGTGCCACACAGGTGCCAGTCGTGCCACACAGGTGCCAGTCGTGCCATACAGGTGCCAGTCGTGCCACACAGGTGCCAGTCGTGCCACACAGGTGCCAGTCGTGTACACAGGTGCAACTCGTGTACACAGGTGCAACTCGTGTACACAGGTGCAACTCGTGTACACAGGTGCAACTCGTGTACACAGGTGCAACTCGTGTACACAGGTGCAACTCGTGTACACAGGTGCAACTCGTGTACACAGGTGCAACTCGTGTACACAGGTGCAACTCGTGTACACAGGTGCAAGTCGTGTACAATATAGTAATTAAACGCAATGTTATTAAGAGTTAAAAATAACCGACCAGTGTGAAAAGACTTGTGCAAATTCATAACTTTATCGAGGCAACGTTTCGCCACAGACCAGCCATGAAACATTACTTCAAGATCACTGAAATGGCGTAACTTCAAGAGTGAAAGTCATGGCAAGCATTTCCTGAACCTAACACGGCACGTGTCTTATTTTACAATGATCGCACATCATGATGATAATGTATGACATTCTTACTATAGTATAATGTATGCTAGGTGTGAGTGGAAGTCGAATAAAAGGGTAAAAAACACCTGGTAAGGTGGTGGACACGCCGTCCTACCACCAGTGATGGCGGCAACAATATGGCGCCTCACCAACACTCAACATTCATACTTGTATGAAT